CTTGGATACCGAAAATTCTGCCACCGACGGGACTCGAACCTAGGACCTCCTGGTCAGAGGCGGTGCAATGACATCAGGTGATGCCCTGAGACATCTCTTCCGGTTTCAGTATGATTCTTCTTCATATATGTTTAACTTGAGTTCAATTCTCTCCCCTCATACTTCTATTTTCCATTACTTATTTCACCTCTCATTTTGTCTAGCCTGGTCTTTCTCTTAATCAGATTATCTCAGCACTGTTTAACTTCTCTTTGTTTATTGATATATCCTCAAGCGTTTGCTGAGAGTTTGATGAATGTCACAGGATACTTCCATAATTTTTAACTTCGCTCTTAGATTTTTTCAAATGCTGCAATCTAGGACACATCTTGACTTTATCGTGACAAAAGAACCTGGAAAACCGTGATGTCATGTAGAGTAGCAAATAAACATCTTGGGCTTTGTATCGAGAAACAGCAAAACATTTAAGTCCATTAAGGGGCTGAGATGGATAAGGACAATAGTTGTTTTCACTGTAGTTTTGAGTAGGGTTCGAAGGTTCTAAACCAGAGGATGTCGGATGTTACACACTAGCTAAATAGATTGATCAAATGCAGACCTTGGGTGAATAAAACTACTAATGGTCAGCTGCTTCTATCATTAGTTTCTCCGATCATCTCCAGGTCCATGCGAATTCTTAGAAACGAGCCGCAGACCGGGCGCGTTTTTCTTTCATTATCCTTGTGCTTTCTTTTCCTACTACACACACATTGACATGACCTGAATTACCACACATTTCAAAAGATCTGACGGAAGATTAAAGTTTATGCCGGATGGAGCGGTTTTCTCGCTAGCGTAGATACCTAAAAGGTGTAACTCTGCAAGTAGGTGTGCGCCGTATCTTACATTGCAGTGGGGAAATAAAACTGCCTCCTCCCAGCATGTAACTTACGAGACTAATAAACACCGCAGATAACGTATCCAGAAACACAAAATTACCGAGAGTATCTAGAAAACTATTTCAGAATCACTTGCATTCCAACTTTTTCGTTTAAATAAAGTACTTCAAATGCATATTTCATGTAATTTCGAATTTAAAACCATATTAAGCGATATCCGTTCAATTGTTAACAGACTTCCGAATTTAACATATTTATTGTTTGATTTGTTCATTTCATTTTCAAACTGTGTATGGAAATATGAATTCGTCAAAACTATTGTGTAGTGGTTAAGAAAGTATAGTTCGATGATATCATCTTATTGTCACTGATCTAAACATTATAATTTTGAGATCGTAGTATTCTATCATCTCCAACAGTGCATTTTTGCAAATTTTCTCAGCAGTTTCCTGGGCAAAACACGAGATGGTTACCTGTTGGTCTTCTGGCAAAGGTCATAGTCCTTCTCAAATGCCATTTACAGAAATTACTTATTTGGGTCAATAAATAAAGACAAAAACAGACACCGTTCTCCTGCCAGGCAAATCGTACTAGCTCCCGCTTGTCCAATTTTTCCACCGTGCGTCTTTAATAAGTCCCCACGAGAGACCCGGGGGGTATGGGGGCGGAATAAGCGTGAGATTGTGTGCCAGGGAGCGGTCCCAGCGATTACCATGCTAATTGTTGGGATTAGAATAGAAATGAGTGAAGAACAAGAAGATCCCCTGGAGGGGGCGAGGGCAGGTGAAGTGGGGCCGTGTGCAGATCCCTGGAGAAGTCGCGGTGCAGATGAGGTCGGGAATGGGTTTTCGCTGTTTGGGCCGGGCCTGGGCTGTGGCGGGGCGGGGCGGAGCAGCGGAGTCTGGGAGCGTCTACGGCCGTCATTGGGGACATGCATCTGCGCCTGGGCGAAGTGCACGCGGTCACCGTAATTTCTCATGGAGGATTTGGAATCCGAGATCAAGAGCAGGGAAATTAAATGGAACCATTGAACGTGTTCCTGAGAACCTGATTTCAATAATAATTATTGTCTTACTATTACTTGACAAAACGTTACTGAATAAGTAACTTAGTTATAGAAACGAATGGATCAGGCCTTCTTAAAAACTTCAAGTCAGAAAAAGTATGTATGGTCGTTGAAAAATGGGATGGAAAGTTGGGACATACAGAAAACGGCAACGATGCACGTCGCAATTTGTATACATGTGGGATGAGGCTGCAGAAACGTTGTACTTGTTCACTATAGAAAAATACAAAAACGCCAAACACCAATGTTTCATGTCGTTCAATATTACGTCGTGAAGACTAATAAAATGAGGGGAAGGGGGAATATTAGAAATTCTGGAACAATACAATCACTTTTCACGTTTCACAAGAGGAAAACGTATTTCTAAAAATGAAATGGATCTTTTAGATTTACGACCATCCGTACATATAAGTTGTAGGGAACTTTGGCAAAGAAATGTTGCTGTTCACATTCATTTAAAAATATAATTCATCACCTATAATTATAGTAAATGATTTTTTTGTGAAAGGACAGACATGTCACACAATTGCTGGACATTGCTTTACTCACTTACAAATGTTTGTATTTAAAAAAAATCTTCGAAAACTATTCATTTCATTATCAATAAACCAATAGTTTTCTTAAAAAGTAGTTTTTGTACTATAAAAGCGGTTAACAATAGCAAGCGATAAAACACATGAACGTCCACTATCTAACACGTACAACAAAAATCACGAAATTTGGTAGACTAGAAAGCTCAAACTTATTTCTAAACAAAAATCTTTAGTGCTTTAAATATAAAGATTTTCCAACGTAAAGGACTTTTAATGAAAATTGGAACTATACGATACTTACAAATGCAATTTATTGACTTCGAGGAAAATATTTCAAGACAAAGGTTTTGGCCATTTCTTAGAAAATTTTAAAAATGTCATAAGGACTTAAGTATAATTTCCCAAATTAAAATATTTTAACTATATACATGACGGTACAATTCGATATTACTTCTGACATATTTACAAAGTTTGTGCCTAGCTTCCAGTTTGTGAGATTTATTCGTGACACATCAATACATCCATCCAGTCATCCATTCTTATAGCCTTTCCGATATTGGGGCACAAAGTTGTATTTACTTTCCATCTGTATCAAGATAACTACCTTTGGAACTATGCTTTAATCCTGATGTGTGTGCCGAGCTACTCCTCGAAAGAATCTTAAATACGAATTCTATGTTGAAAAAAATGGGTTTGTATTATTGAGATGATTTCAAAACTATTTCTCCCTATACTATCATATTACACAAGAATTATAAAATTAGAAAAAGGTCAAATCATGACGTATGGTCTATCTCTGAATTCCAAATTATCATTTTCACTTTGGACATATTTTTAACGCATTTAATAATATTTTCCCGAAATGTGTTTAAGCTTTCCAAATATTTTCTTCAAATCTAACTTCCTCAAAACATATTAAAAACAAAACTGTCACCAACTAGCATCAATGAGTAAAAACAACAGGATACAAAACATATTCTTCGCCGGTTGTTCACATCAGTAATTCCAGAATCTTCAGAGACTACACATGTATTTTCTTCCTCAATATAGTAATTCCAAAATAAAATACACTTAATAACTTCATAAAATGACAATAAATCGTGTCATGGTAAATAAGTATTCGTTTAAAATCATTGTAATTGAGTCTATTAAAGCAGCTAATACTTCCTTTTTTCTATAGACAAATTGTGCCGTTCAGATTACCACAATACTGCCAACGATAGAACTGTTGGCTCTTAATGCCAATGACTTAAAAGACAACTTAATGTAAGTTACATTATGTAGACTGTATCGATTAGTATTTTGGAGAATTATTAGTTGGAGAACTTTTCATCATTACCAGGGATCAATTGTTCGAAAATGGTAATTTATGTGGAAACCTAAAATAATTTTGTTTACTGAATTATATTTTATTTGAAACTTATTTAAATCTACTGAGTATGAATATTACAAGCGATTACACATAGGCCAATTTGCCTTAGATATTGTCTGCGAATAAGAAAAACCTAAGTGCATTTTAACTCTTTTGGTATATTTTTCTACTCTTTTGGGATGTGAAATCGTTGAATTTTTGGAGTTTCGGTGTATTAAATAATTGATTATTTCACTTTTTAACTATTTCACAAAACAGTGAAAACGTACGATACAATTAATCGTAATAACTTTTTTACAAAATGAATATTAAAAAAATTTTTGACTTTCTATACAGCATAAGATATTGAGTAGACACATTTACTAAAAATCGTTTAAATATGATTAGTATCAAATAACCGTTTCGGAACTAAGCGAATTTCATTTATAGAGCGACAACAATTTATTCCGTTGAATCTGATCACAGGAATCTGAGGATTGCTTCATTTTGATATGTTTATTTAATAATAATCATCTATCATCTGAGTAGTTTGATATTTTTAGACATTTCTACCTTATAAATATGTGTTTCAATAACAAAAAATAATTTAACTCAATATTATTATAACAAATTAAAAGAATTCTAGTGGTGTGCCATTTCATATCCTCGTATACAAACTCCCCTCAATTATTTGTTATAGAATAGTACTAAACTTCATAATGGTGCGACGCTATGGCAATGTATTATGTGGTCTACATTTATGATGACTGAAGGATAATAGATATGGGTAAAGAAAAGTTCAAAATTTTCTTCAAATTTTATTACAAAGCACAACATGAAAAATATAAAAAACAAAAACAAACAACGAGAACAGATGAGCACGCGATGCGACTGTACAAGAGGTGAGGAGATGAGAATCGTGGGCGCAATGAAGGTGAAAGTGTGGGTGTGCGGGCGGGTACGGTGGGCGAGGAGGCAGCCGAAGCCGGCACTCCGCCCCCGATGAGCGACTGTGTTGGGGAGGGCAGGCAAGGGGCGGGCGGCGGCGCGCGCGGCTAGGTGGCCAAAAGCGACCACTCACGCGACCCGGCCGCGGCCCCCACGCCCCTGCGGGCCGCGCGCCCCCAACGTCGCGCTCGAGGACGGCTAGGGCGCGCCCGCGCCGCCGGCCCCGCGCCCGGACTTCGAACCCTGCGGCACACCGGCCTGGGTTCCACGCTGCGCCCGCCGCGCCGCCGCTGCAGCGTCAAGGCAAGCGCTCCGCCGGGCCAGCTCTACCACTTGCCGTGGCCGCCGCCGCCGCTGGTCTTGGTGTAGTGGTGGATGTACTTGACGACCGGGACCTTGACGGGGTAGGGCTTGCTCACGGGGACGGGCACGGGCTTCTCCACCGGGATGGGCACGTGCTTCTCCACCGGGTACGGCACCAGCTTCTCCACGTGGATGGGCACGTGCTTCTCGACGGGCACGTGCACCGTCTTGACGACGGGCACCTCGATCTTCTCGGCGATCTTGATGTTGAGCGGCACGGCGTGCGGGACCGGGATGGGGTGCGGCACGGGCACCTGCACGAACACCGGGTGCGGGACCTTGATGTAGACGGTCTTGGTGTGGCCGCCGTCGTCGTCGCCGTGGTCGTCGTCGCCGCCGCCGTAGTCGCCGCCGTAGTCGCCGCCACCGTGGCCGCCGTAGTCCACCCCGCGCTTCACCAGGCGGTGATCCGGTTCAGGCACCAGCAGGAGCAGCTCCTGCTGCGGCGCCTCGGCTGCCGCCCAGGTCACCATCGCCAGCGCGGCCACGGACAGGATCTGCGCATGCCACGCCGTCACCCCAGTGCCTCACTCACACCCAACACCCGCAACAATTACTCTAAAATATGCTTAGAATGTAAGCTCTTTGTGAACGCGTCGACATACCAAGGCTGTGCTTCTCGACGACTACCCGCGTCCCACCTATCCAAGCCTATACGCATACCATTTCAGCTGCCTATTTCTTTATTTTAAAACCGACTCTCTCTGTTATGATAACGGAAGACTTTTTACTTGTTTCAAAATTTTAGATAAAGAAATCAGAGATTAACTCGAGTAGTCTAAATATTTGATCGTTCTTTGCACGCTTTCTCCTTTGACATTTATCGCGACAGTGAATAATGATGCTGTGCCTCTTTTTCCTCTCTTTTATATGTTTTATGGTTTTATACAGAAGGAACTTAACGGTCATCTCACATGACATAAGTTCCCATTGAAATCACTGTAATGATTGAAATGTAACAAAACTGCAGCTAACATCAGTCACATGTTAAAGACTTGTTACAGTCCCGTGACTTACTCTACTAACTCATGTGGGTTAGTAGAATAAAGTAAGAATCTATAACTGCTTCTTTAGTAAAGAATACATGACATCAATTTAACGTCAGAATAATACGAATACAGAATACCCTCGCAATTTTACCCTAAATATTGAAGTTCATTATCTGCGGTTGATTTGATGAATACTTGTTTAAATATTTGAAAAAGTATGAAAAAAACATACAGCAAAGCATTCACATGAACATACCTTTTACTAAAGCTAACATCAAATTATGCTCTCGTATTTAACATTTTTCATTCAGTAATAACCAAAATTACAAAAATACTTCTTTCATCACATTCCTGTGAAATAATGTTTAAAATATACCGAATAATTAAAATATAAAATGCAAAATGTAAAGCATATATCGCTTACAATTATATTCACGTAAAATACTAGTTTTAGTTATCCCTAAAAGCAAACTGACGTATTTTTCCGAGCACGAGCAAGCAACTAAAAAGTTTTCTCTGCGGTTTAGCATCAGTTCTCTACAGGGCACACAGTAATGCCTGTATCTGGTATCGTGGAATGGTCGTAAAATGAGCTTGTCGGGCAACCTTTCCATTGCACTGTACAACGTTTCACATTGATACTCGCAAAACTTTTCTCTTTCCTATGAGAGTTAAAATGTCTTGCGAGTCCTGTTGTATACATACGATTAAAATGTAACTAACAATTAAATAAAAATAATTTGGTTTCCACTTTTGCACTATTATTTTTCAGATATCAGATTAAAATTCAAATAGATTTCTCAAAATAATCTAGAAATATCTGTCGCGTGTTTATAATCAGAAACAACTCACAACAGTGTCAACAAAAACACAATTTGCTAGAATTTTCAACTAAACAATTCACGTACATTGAAACTCACAAAACGAATAGGTAAATCGCACAATAAACAGCAAATAACATGAGTTCCTGAACAAGGTTGCTTCAAGTTGATCAGGTTGTTTCAACGGCTCGTTAATAATGGCGAAACGTTCCAAACACGGTGAGCAATAACAAATGCACACCAGTAAGCCAAAGTGATTGTAAATAGTTAATCATTTAATTTTAAATATACGATTGAAGCAATTCGAATACTTTTATTTTGATACAATGGATTACTGAGTTTTTAATAATCTCTTGAATTTTTAATGCAAACTAAATGAATAAAATATTATGAATATAAAACAAAAAATATAACACCCGATTTGAATAAAATTACTCGCAAATCTCAATTATACTCGATAACTCTTTTACAACAAAAAATAATTTCGTTGTATGCATTGGGCGAGTCATTATATAGCCGTTACGAAATACAAATCTCAAATGCAAAACAATGCTATTCATTATTATAATTTTTCGTTATCAATCAATCACCATACATCATTACATAATCTTGACTTTTTAGGAATTTTAATAAAATATATAAAATGTCACAGAGGAATCTATGATAGACTTGTATTGATATCTTCACAAAAGAAATGCATACAAAAATTCAGCAAGTAGCAAATAACTAAACCTAAAACAGACAACTAAATCTGGAAGACCTTTACGGTTAGGGAAACTTGTTACACAGCAACCATTTTTTGGGGTACTTGCAAACGCAATAAAATCACACCTACTAACTATCGCATCAATGTGAATGCCATTGGGCAAAGGACAGAATAAGGCTCGCATACCGTCCTCAGCGAGTACCGTCCTCAGCGAGTACCGACCTCAGCGGCGTAGCGCCTCAGCGAGTACGACCTCAGCGAGTACCGACCTCAGCGAGTACCCGACCTCAGCGAGTACCAGCCTCAGCGAGTACCGATTCTCAGCGTAGTACCCGATCTCAGTGAGACGTCGTGACGCATCTCAGTGAGTACCGATCTCAGTTGAGTACCGACCTCAGTGATGCTCTGCTCGCGTGAGTACCGTTCCTCAGTAAGATCTGTTGCTGAGTAATTGCGTCCCATTGAGAGCCATCCTCAACGGTCGCAGTTGTGGCACTTACCGCGAACTTCATGCTGCCGGTGTGCGGGTGAGAGAGGGTGAGAGAGCGGTGCGAGTGCGAACCGGCTGCCGCAGCGGAGTGCCAGCCTCGGCGCCCGGCCGGGCTCTTATAGGCGCCCCGTCTCCCGTCCCCACCGCCCCCACCGCCGAGCGCTTTCACTGCGGTCGCCGCTCCCCGCGCCGTCCGCGGAACATTCACCGCCTCTCGCGCTTCGCCTCCTCCTCCTCCTCCTCGACCGCCGCCACATTCACCGGCGCCGTCGCAAACGCGGCCCAGCACGCAAATTCTTCACTACAACGCATTTGGACAGTCGGCGTTATAAGTGGTTGATTTAAATTCAGAAATTGAGGTATCACGCATCGGACGAAGCAAATGTTAGTAGCGTTTCGTTTTTGTAACTTTATGGCATTGTAGAAGTTAGGTATTAGCAAATTATTACTTTGCAGTGTGCGTAAACAATGTAGACTCTCATGAAAAGTAGTGGTTCCGTACTTGTCGCTGTATAAGCGCCAAGTTACGAAAAAACATTGAAGAGAAAAGTGATGTTCATCGTAGATATGTTATGAAATAAAATGTTAATATCAAATGAATAAACCTAAGAAAACGTACTTTTCTATTTATTACAAAGAAATATCTAAAGTATTAAAAAAAACTTAAGCATATTACTTGCAAAATACGATTCGAAAATAAAAAGTGGAGATGCCGTTTCAAAATTCGAGCTTTCCCGTCTGCAATACGTCGTTCAGTCTATGGAGAATTCTTTGTATCATATATGACAATTCACGCATTCTCGAGTATTGGAACTTCTTTTTTTCATTTTTTTTGTCTGGTGATATATTTTACTTTTTTTTATTTTAATGGATTGCCTGGTTCAGATTTCTGTTTCATTCACTCTTTCATTCATTCCCATGTGGAATTTAATTACTTGAGCTTTACATCTTCTCAGGGAGTGCTCTTTACTCCTACCTGCGGTATTGAAACCTTCTCTACAGGTTGCTGCGACTGCATTCATTTGCTAATGATTCTGAAGCCTGTAGTTTATGTCTCACAGGTACAATTATGAACGTTATCATAACAGGAGTTCTAGTAATGACAGTATTGCATTCAATAAGCGACATATTCCGGAAAACCGTGAGAGGAGAAGCACTTCAGAGAAAGAAGAAACAGGGGACGATGAAAGAAGAAAACTGTAAGGTTTGGAATTGGAAATGAATAGATGGAAAGAATATAAAAATATAAGTAATTAAGGAAAGAACTAGAAAGGAAGAATTGCATACACAGAATGTAATAGGAATAGAAAATAATAAAAAAAACTATGGTAGGAGATGTTAATTACAAACACATCAATTACTGAGGACCTGCTTTCTGTTTTCAAATTCAAAATATTAATGTTAATGTTACTTACTTAAAGATCTGTAAATCTGGCAAGAAAAGAGATCTCTTGTAAAAATAATGTTGGTAGTCCAACGGGATTTTTCCATTATAAATGTATTATATATATATATATATATAAATAATATAATATAAGTATTAATATACTATATATATATACCACATATGTAGTCAATAGAATGACAACAGATTAATCTCCAATCTAAACAAAGGTATTCTTAGTACGACACATCCGCAGAATTTTTCTCAACGACGGAGCAAGAAGTCAACAGAACACAAAATCTTAATAATGATGTTCATGTTATCGTGAGTTCTGATCAATCAATTATTATTATCATTTTAAAAAGAATCTTGTCACATATACCCTGTTTACATTCACGGGCTTTGTGTTTCACAGCCAATCAACTGCTTTGGATCGAATATCCTCCTTCGACACTAATATTCACTTTCTCTCTTTCACATTCAAAAACGGGACAATAGTTCAAGATATACTTGCGAAGATTAAACTAATGGTAAAGTAGCAGATACAGAGACTGATGTAATCACACATCGAGCAAGACACTAAAACATTTTTTCCGTTAATTTTTCGAAGAAGGGTATTTCGGAATACTTAAGAATACTTTTCTGAAAGAAGCTACTACTAAACTTTTTACTTCCTCGTATATGTACTTATATACCTCCCTATACGTAGTTTGGAACGTAATGTAATGAAAATCAAATATAAAAACGGAAATACAGGTTTTGGGGTCTTCTGATGCAGAAATAGTGTTTTTTTTAAACGTCCGCCCGTTCGTTTATCCGTCTATCGTTTGTAAACAACACTTCGAAATCCATCAGACACAAAAATATTACATACACTACATAACTATTTCATTGCAATATAAAATGGTTGAAAAATCCTACAAATTAATACTCCCTTGAAATGTAACTGCAATGAAAAGCAAAACAAAAGTTTTTTATGTGTAATAAGGTGTGAAACACAATTTTCTTAGTGGCACTTTACACATTGTACAAAGAGTTTTAGTTCGCCTTTTAATTCTCGTCTGTGCACATTTAGAGCAACGTTTAATCATATGTTCTTCAATAGACAAGTGTTCGCCGACATTCAGTATTAGCTTAGCTATCCTTGCTAACATAATCAGAGCACAGTGTGTGTGTGTGGGTTGTTCATCAGCACATTTCTGACACCTTTTTCAACTAATAATTTCGTTTTATCGCCAGTCAGTGCGATTTGTGCGCAGTTGTGGGAACTAGATGACACACATTTGCATCAAGACCAATGGGAAAAGAACTTGCAACATAAATGGGGGAAATTCTCAAAAACACACCCGTTACCCGTAGTGGGATATACGTGTCTCGTTGGCAGTCTAAGGGTTAATGAGCAAATTTGCTTTCTTTCATATTCGCAATAACTTTTTTTCAGAATATCACCTATCCTTATTTACAGAATAGCCAAACTAACTGAAATTCCTAACTTGAAATGAAACGAGAGGGGTAAAATAAAAGTGCAAGTATTCTTTGCATATGTTGATGGCGCTGAGCTGGGCATTTGGCATTGAAGTCACCAGCCCGTTCCTTCTCCCATGCAGTCGTTCAAGCCCATTTCCACAGTCACTTCCTCGCTGCCATCGCCTGCACTCCGGCATCTTCGCTGGCGCCAGCGCCTTCCACCGCCGTCTCCACACCTGTTACCGGAACATGCCTCTGAGCGCACAAAGGAGAGCTGCTGCGGTGCAGTGGCCGCAGGGCGGGGGGACGAGAGGCGAGAGACGGAGGGAACTTTCGAGGGCGGAACGGCGTCGCGGCGCTTCCGTCTCCTGTCGCGGAAGGCGCCTTTTGTCCGGCGTCGCGACGCTCGCTGCTGCGGCGGCGGCGGCGACGTGCGACACTCCGCGCATTGCTGGGGGCTCTTTGACGCCGTGATTAACCACGAGGGCTGACGAAAAAGTAAACGTGACCCGCCGCAAAAATCACGTTTCATTGCTTCTTTCTCTCGCATGTCTACCTATATGCGTGCACTGATGTTGTTTCCGATCACTACAACTGCTATGGTCATTAGTCGGACTAGAATTTTGATAACCAAAAACTACATAAAATGCCTTAAAAATCCTTCAAATTCCCCTGAAACTTATCCACTTCGTAATTTGTTACTGCGAAATATTTCCTTTCTCGGTTAAATCAATAAAACCGTGATAAAATATTTGAAATAAACTGAATACTGCAACGTTCGACTTCCCTCACCTTCGCGCTTCCACTTCCACGTCAGACTCCACGCTTTCTTTGCTTACGAAACACAATCAGTTCACAGATCTGTCTATATAAATAAATTCTGAATATAAGAGTTTAGGGACCTCTCCACTTCTTCTGTCCTCAAACCGTTCAAAGCCATTGACATCGCGTTGACAGGATCTAGTTACTTTTAAGCGAAAGTGTAGCAGCCTGTTTCTATTTAGAGTTGAGCACGTAAGTACTAAAAATGAATTAAAACTAGTGCAAAAAGTAAAAAATGACCAAACTATGATCTCAAAACTCAAAAATTCCTTTTTAACAAAAAAATGCCCTGATAAATACATGTCAAACATCACAAAACACTGTGAAAAATGTTAGTAGCAAAGAAATGTATCTCAAGAACGAGAAAAAAGATGAAAAATCATCGAAACCCAACCCTAGTTATTAGTCGCGTAAGTGTAGTAAGTGTTTTATATGGTGAGAAGATCCGGCGCCAACCTAAATGTCAGTTATGCAAGTGATTTCTTTCTCCAGGTGTCTTCCCCGGAGGGGCAGCGACCAACCCATGACACACTAATCGTAACCGGGTTGTTTTAATATCTCGGTATGTGTTTTCTGAAGTAAATATTGTGTGTGTACGTATGTGCGTTGTGTGTGTAAGTGCGCATGTGCGTATGTAAGCGTGCGTATGCACGTGCATATATGCGTGCGTGTGCGTTTGCGCGTGCAGAGAGAGGCAGAGATGATTGCGCGCGATTCGTAGCCTGTTTTCTTACGGTTTTGCTCCAGCAATGGCTTGGCATTGATAGTAGAAACAAAAGATGGAGAAGATGGAGAAGATGGAGAAGCATTGACTCCTAGCCCCTTTCTGATGGTTTGAAGTTTTTCAATTACTGATGTGTATCATTTGTCTTAAGGTTTTTTCTTACTACATCAGATTCTGAATGGAAAAGAAGCGGACTTACAAATTACAGCTAAAAACCGACAAAAATGACAGTTTGAGAAACTCAGTTTGAGAAAATCAGAAAAAACGTTGCAGCCCGTGTTGTCACTCCGCAATTATACACACCCCGCAAACGTATGAATTGTTTAATATAGATAAGGAAACTTTAAATAAAAACATTTTAATCCCCAAAAATTTATTGTTGAAGCTCAAACAAAATACACATTTATAGTTATCAAAACTTTTTGATCAATAGTTGATACTTTTACAAGAATTATATTATTAAATGAATTTATATTTTGTGATATGACCTCCCAACTAGCTCAAATGAAAATAAGGGGCACTGGTGATATTTACATGATTAATCAGGGACGAAGGCTCTCACTTCACTGTTGCTTTACAACAAACAACACACGCAAGAATACCTTAGTAAAGTGTTCGATAATTTCAACAGTAAAAAATAGAATTGTACAAATTTACACACACAATATTTTGTATGTTTTAAAATTAATTTACACTCATCTGCAAATGGGATTTTGGAGAATTTATTCGTATTTGACAGTTTTAATGTTACATTCTACAAAATAATTACAAATAGTTATTCTCAAAGTAAACTGAGCAACTAGTATATTTTTAAACTTCATAATGACAAGTAATCCTCTTACATCATCTACAACAATTCTCTTTCCTATAACCTCAAATTGATAAATATTTCACTCCACAAATTACATTTTGCTTTTTTGATATACTTCATAATATCAATTGAGATACATAAATGCTGAGACACACAGAACCCTGACAGCTGCATTAAGTGAATCAGCGCTCTGCCATCAAGATAACGTGTTTACACAGGCTCAGTGCAGGCCACATAGCGCATGGGCATCAGCTGATTGAAATGGCGCACACGCAACGAGAGATGATGCCAGATTGACAGCACGTGCCGTGTACAACCGCCTCCGCCGCAGATGAGAGATATCTCCTGCGCTGTAACACGATCTGCAGAGTCCGTGAAAGGAATTGTGAAGGAGAATTGCCAACGCATGACCAACGCAGATGACTTGTATTAATTTTCTTTGAAAATTAGATGAAATATCTAACAACTAGTGTCTTTTTAATCTTTGTTTCATGTGAAATTTTTATTAGAAGAATAGAGTTAAATGCACTTATAAAAGTGGCAGAGACCAGGTTTTTACTGAATTTTCAAAAATTGTAAAAGTTTCATTTTTTCGGCGACTTCCTACAAGTAAAGAACGTAAGATAGAGATTTTTCTTCATTTGAAATATTTCGGCATAATTAGTTCTTTCATGAAGATCGTACCCATTTTTTGAACAATATTTTTCGCACAATATGCGTGAAAAAATAAAGAAACAAGCTTTTCTCTAAAACCGCTCCAATTTTTTCTTTAAATTTTTGTAGGGTCAGTGTTCAATGTACTGTGTATATTAAA